ATATTTCTAGAATCTCCTAATGACAAATTCCTGCCTCAACTTTACCTATTACCTATGAGTCCAGGCAATCAGAAACAGAAGAATTTATATTGAAATCACAATTGCAGCTACGAAATTCACGTCAAAAATTCAGAGAGTACAGCCATACCACCAATAAATTAATTAATTAGTTCCACGGTGCGGAACATCAAATCAAAAGGTTGCAAAAATAATAATTGGCATTTCGTCCAGGTATTGCGAGTGCGCACGTCGATGCTACGGCGTTAAAAAACAGATTCTAGCTCTGGTATACTTAAGTTAAACCTCACCAGGGAACTAACAATCTTACCAACAGTTATCGAACGACGAATACAGCAAACAAACGAGATTTTCCCATCCTTTTCGATCAGAGATGGTCAAATAACAAATATTTATTTTTGGTACCTTTTCATTTAACGTTCCGCGCCACGGAACTAATCAATTAATGTACCGAAAGCATCGCTGTGCTCCCTATATTTTTAACGAGAATAAATTCAATATAAATTCTCTTATTTGCCATTACTCTCCTCACGTTTAATTCTCAATTACAATTAAACTTTCTGGATAGAAGCTCACTTACAGAATTTACAATATACTGTGATCTGTTTCTTTATTATCGAGGACAAACTATAAAACTGTCGAACAGCTACAATAGTGATTCATTCTAAGTTCGTCAAATCTTTCACCCCGTAACTACCACCGAATCTACGGTTTATTTGATAAATATTCGTGATTGGTTGGTATCGTTGGAGTGTTTAAAAGGGCGGAGACCCGAGGGAAACAAAATAAAATAAATTCCGTAACGGTTGAACTATTTCCGTGACTCTCCGTTGCTGTCAGGACTCGAGAATCACGGCTGGCAATCGCCGGTGGGGCGCTGAATTTTCCCGCGAAATTGCTCGTTCCGGAGACGCTTCGCGGCGTTGATAACGGCGTGCATGCACTCGGTATACTCGAAGAACGCGGAAAACAGCGACGAAATATGACCGTGTGCATCGCGTGCACACTCCCCGTTGCGCTTCATGAATTTTACACAGCCGGTCGTTCCGCGGTCTAACTTCGTGTCAGATTTAAATATGGAAGACACGCGGCGCGAGCGTCTGCACGAGGAAAAAATTACCTCGCGCAAGGGTGCACCGGGGATACTAATTCCCGAGGTTAGAGCTCGCCAACGAATCACGGTAGCCGGAATCGCGCGATTCGATGCTCGACGAAATTATATATTTTCAGTCGGATTTCATCGAGAATAGACTTTTACTTTATCGATTGAATTTTTAGCCGTTGTATTACGAGGCTTGAATTAAAATTAAAATATTACTTGGCCTCTTTATGAATCGATAAACTTCGAAAGTACAGTAATGATTCTTAAAATGAACGTTTACAAATAATTTTGATTTAAAGTCGATTAAGGGCGTTTCAAGGCCAAGTGTGTCTATAGCGAGTCGGTCCTATGATAAATTAGTCGCATGGTACACGAATATTCTCGGGAAATTCCAGCCTTCCGATGCATTAACGTCAACCCAACCGAACGAAACAGCGCTTCCTGTTACTCGTGTTCGACCGTGGCCGTGGTCTCGTTACTCGTTCTTGTTCCTGCGTTAATTCACCGTCTCACGATGTTTGGAGGTATTAAGGTAAACGCCCGGGCGAAGTCACAGCGGCGAAACGATTCGATTCGAATTTTAACTCGCGCAGAAATTCAACCGGACGGGTTTCATTCGCCGGAAATTTCTGCTCGCCTGTTCTCCTGACGTTGAATTTAATTCGGTAGCTTCGGCCAGGGTGGGATCTAACCGCAGGGTCTCGCTACGATTTCGCGGAAACATGGAAATAAGGCTTTTGATATTCGAGAGGAAGCAGGAAAGTACGAGGAACATTTGGAATAATTACGGGCTCGTTCGCGATTACTCGATGAATAGCTGAATCGAACATTTCAAGTGTTTCTCCAACGATCAACACCGGTTCTTGGAGCCATGAATTCTCAAAACTCGAAGAATTATTAAATAAACTGTACTCAAACTTTATTCGAAGAGTACCACGAGTGCCTTTAAAATTACAAATAACAATTTAATTTCGCAGATCTTTGAGAAGTAAATTTATTATTTTTGATTTAATGATGCAATTGTTAAAAAATCGTAGGTAATTTAACTTTCGATGCTAAGGATAGATTTACGTTTTTACGATTTTAAGGAATTTCTGTGCGGAATTTGAGATGCGAATATCGTATCGATAAGAATTCCATAATTTATTGGAGACGTGATTGTGGTCATGTTCTATAATAGAATTCAAGTAACATAGTTATACCATCGATAATACTGACGCTCGTATAAATCATCCCTTTATACTTTTGATTTATGTTTACGTCATGTTGGAGCTCGATTCGTTCAGAAGTGTGCATATACGCGATCATGTTTACAAACTTGAAAGGTAAAAAAGAACATGCATTCCGAACCTGTTGCACGGACGAAGAACCAGTATCGATTAGAAAGAACCAGTAGACAGCGTCAGTGTAGTCGGACAGGAGGAATATAAATGATTGGTTGAGATATTCTCGAAACAATGGTTGTGATTCATAGCCCCCGACTATTCGAGGAATAACAATATACCTACTATTAATATTCAATTTAAACTCGTTAAAACATTTTAATTTACAAAATTTCTCGGAGAAATTTGACAGAACACCGATTGGAAAATATTAATTTGAATAATATTTAGGAACATTGCTAAGGAACAAAGTTTCAAAGCCACTCGAATTTCTCTTCCTTTTTGCTTGTGAACAACAGCTCGCAGAAAGATTTACCGATACCAGTACTTCCTTTTTGATTGGTCACGCGTTATCGCAAAGTACAACGAATGCTATTCACGCTTTAAATTCATTAAACTGCCAGAGATCGTTCCGCGAGCGCACGTTTCATCCGTAAATAATGCTTAGCAATGCACGAAACAGATGGCTGGCATTACCGTACCGGGGAAACAGTCCCGAACATATACAGGAAGGAAAAACTCACTGAAACGTTGGTCTACATCTTTTCTCCGCCATCATAAATCACCTTCGCCACTTTATTACTTTCTTTCATAATTCGTTCATTTTTCGGCGAATTTCGACACCCGCAAATGTTTCCACGTCGAGAGGCATTCTAAGAATCATCACTGTAATCCTCTCCCTTCGTTGACACACGTTACGTTGACTTATAACACCGAGAATTAAGCCCATTTTTAGTAAACCGATAAGCTAAAATATGTAACGTAAAAATTGTTCAAAAGTTTCAACGTGTTCAAGACTATAAAAAAAAATTTCATAGCAGTTCCAATACTCTCCCTACGATTGTTCCTGGATGGAAAGAAGTTAATGTTCCATAGTACCCTGATCGTTGATTTCTTCTTTGAAACCAAGGTACCGATTAGAATTCAGTGAACGCTTGAAAATAACACGCAGAAGTTTCGTATTGTTCGATCAAAGTTTCGAAACGCCACAAATATACGCGTCGGAGGAAGTTTCGCGCGTATCGCGGAAACTTAGACGATTAGAAGCACAATGGAAAACAGTATCGCGCCGGAGTCGATAAGGGAATCGACGCGGTCAAGGTGTATTTGTCGGGTAGGAAAGCAGAGAGGAACTTAATTATGGGGGTTGGTAGGATTGGCAGAGCAGCGGGTTAAACGAAAGGGAAGCGAACGTCGGGCCTGTCGTTGGCAGGAAAATTGCATTCATTTCGCCCCGCGACTGCTAAACCGCACGAAATTTATATCTCGAGAGTCCGGTAATGGCGCATCGTCGACCGTTACAAACAGTGCTTTTAGCTCGGTGGGGAAAAAGGAGCAAGAGACACGCGTCGCGATGCCTCGATGTTCCTTCCGTGCATCCGCGTCGGGCAAATAGCAGACATTCGCAGGACATTCGAAACAAGGGAAACGACTCTCGACCCATCCTACCCCTTAAATGGAAACACGACGCGTCGTTTTATTTTTACTGGATATCACGGCCCTTTTAACGATGTTTAACTGAATCCTCGACGGTTTCGATACGCGCGCGGGAAACAGAGAACGGTCCATGGGCGAAATTTATGTTTGCGAGGTGCTTGAAAAATGCGCTCGCGCGTCGATTAATCGTTTAATGCACGCGCGATACGTGGATTGTTAAATTTATCTTGTATCGCTTCGACGAGATATTCAACGATAATCGTTCGTCGAAATAAAATCGAAAGGATATTAATATTGCATCGTGTAAGCTGGACTTTTATACGAGCATTTATGACCACGATTATGAGTTCGATGTATACTGAATCTGAAATCTCTGGAATTTAGGAGACTCGTGGCTGACCTGTTGCTTTTCAAAATTATAAATTTCTCTGTGTATTTGCGCGCTAATGAATATGGGATAAGGCTTGAACTTTTTGCCACTGAAATTTTGTTGAAAAATCTGGTTTGGCAATTTATTATTTAATTGTTCGTCTATTTCGTTCTGTGAGAGTTTTTATATCATGAACTATGTATTATTTACGTAAAAATATTGTTATATTTTCTCTTGTACACTAATGGATTTCTACCCATATAATAAATATAGTCGATTACGGATGGCCGGTTGTGTATTTCTCGTGGTAGCGATCATTAACTTCGCAATAGGTCAGTAAATGAAATCCTTCGAGGGCATCGTAATAATTGTACCGTTGGGAAACCAGAATTCTTAACGAATTTTACGAGGTCATAAATTTCATTGCGTCATGTCGCAATGATATCCGAATTGCGTTTCTCTTGATCAAAGTGCTGAAATAAATCTGGTTTAATAGGATGTTGTAATCACGGTTGCAAGTTGTTTAACGCTTGCGTATCATACACTAACGACACGTGTAAAATATCGTGTTTGAAATATTGTCATTTATCAGCAAACGATGAATGAAATTTTACCATTAGAGCCTTCTCAGGAATATCTAATAAATTATGATCTCTGTCTTCATAAACGATAATGTTTCTATTCTGCATACCTTAGTGTTCCGGATCATACGATATCTTCCAAAAGAATCTGTAACACAATAATAATAATAATTATTATATGCTGCGTATGACCTAGCATCTTGTATATGAATAATATTCAAATGTAAAAGTGGGAGACTGAAACTGAAATAATTACTTTTTTAATTATATTAAACGGTGCTTTTCAGCGCGACCCGCTTCGCTGCAATTATAACGATTAAAATTAACAGTAACACCGATGACACTAACAAAATGGCATCGTTTCTAATTTCGTTCGGTTACACTTTAAATATTAAAGTCGAAATGAAAAGAATATCGACGAATCCGTGTCTCTTCGGCGAGGAAAACCTACGATTCGAACATCCCTTCGATTACGGGTGTTTTAGGGTCACAAGCTCCGAATTATAGCCCGGGATAAAATACAAAGGGCCCCACCCTTTTCACGGGAATTCACGCGCGGAGTCGCTGTACACGGACGACCATAAAGTTCCGCGAAGCATTGAAAATCCTCGCGGACAACCGGCATACTTATCGCCCTAATGACGGTCGTCGTTAACAGCAGACGCGGGCGCGTAAAGCGGAATTTAATTAATTTATCGCCGCGACGACGTCCCGGGATCAGAATTGGCCGGCGCTACTTCCCGATTAACTCGACCCAAATGTGCAATTGACCTCTGGATGCCTTTCGGGTTCTGGCGAAGTCGGCTCGTGACATCTGTAATAGATAAGAGGGCCAGCTGCTATTGACTTAACGAATCTCGTCGATGCAAATGCGAACCTGGCCCGACAACGTGTGCTCCGCGAGATTTAACGACGCTGCCCGAAAATTTCATCGTTAAGAGAGCATTCGATACCGGGCATCAAGTCACTTTCCCGGCATCGATTCCGTCTTCCGTTTCTTTCGATTACTTTTCACCTTACTTCTATTCTATTCGCAAACAAATTCTTTAAAGTATTCGTTCGATATACTACGCAGTTACACGACCGTAGAATGTATATTCGATTTCACCATTGAATATAGAATAGGACAATTGAATTTTTAGTCGACCAACTGATGACACAACAAAAGAATACTACTCGATGAAAGAGGTAAAAATTTCCTATTTCCTGACCTACTGAATTATTGAAATTACTATCAACGTCTTTGAGTATGACTTATAAGTTGTGCCTGATTTTCTCAAACTAACGTGTGGTCCTTTTCAGCATTGCATAACCTTAAATTTGAACATAAAATAATATAAGAACGTGCATAATTGTATGAACACGATTCTTTCGAAAAATTGAACCATATGTTAGAAAATAATTAATATAAGTCTTCAGAGTGTAATCTCATAAAATAAATGATTCGTTTGGAATAGAAAATGAATTGAAAATTAAATGTTTGTCTTCGAGTATAGGCGACTGACTGTTCGTTGCTGCAAAAAAATCGTAAGTACGCGGTCGGTTCTGTTGCGTTCGAGTTGGCGTAACCCCTTAATGGCTGCTCGAACACGCCAACGCCGAGGATTATTGTCCCAATCTCGCCGCCGGTTGCTCTCCGTCGCGTGAGCTCGGATTAGCTTCTCGAAACTCTCGAAGTCGTCCAGTCCAGGCCCGATTAGATCTATTGGAACCGATGGTATTTCGGATCCAGACGGTTCTAATCTTCTCGTCGAGAGGAACGTACTCCTCCGCGAACCCCTTTATTTACCGAGCGGGGCAGCTGCGCTTTATTTCGACGTCCTCTTCGTCCGCGAGCACGCTTTTGTGCCATCGAGTACTTCGTTAGTTGCTTGTTTATACGCGAAGAACGCTTCTCGACTTCTTTGTGCTCGCGAAGAATGGAATTCTAATGACGACGACGACTTTAAGGCGGCCCGGAAGCAGTAGTAATTATTGACTCGCGTTACTCGACGTTCCCAAGACATAATTAACTTCAGTTTTGAAGTTCGAGGTAAGAGGCAACCGCAATTCGTTCCATTTTAATCGGCTTAATAACGGGCCTTGGTCTTTACAATTTCGATCGAAACTCTGCATTTAAATTTAAATTAATTTTCAATTAAATAAACAATTTATGGTCCAGTTTTATCGTACACTAGTCGTACGATCAGTAGGAATTGCCGAAACTTCTTTGGGTATGTAACGTCAAAGTAAATTTCAAAATAAACATAGAAGATAGGAAAAATTATAGTAGGTGATATGATCATTAGGTAGAGGATGAAATGCCCTTTAAAATGAGCGTTTGTACGAGTCGATAGCTTTATTAGTTCCGGAGATATAGCGATTTTAGTTTCAAGTCGATGCGGTGGCTAGTTCCGGAGATATGAGGGACCGAATCGTTTGTTTACTTTTTTACTACGGCCTTGTCAAGGTCGTTGACTGCACGTGCTCGGGGAAACTAGGTCACTCGACCACTCGGTCACGAGTCACGTGCGAGAAAGAGAGGTCCGGCGCGACGCGTCAGACGGAGACAGCGATAGTCGAATTAAGAAAAATTACCTTTTACATAAATTACGATATCTCCGAAACGGGAAGTCGGATCGACAAAAACCAAAAGCCATTTTAAAGGGGAAGGTTTACCGCTGCTAACGATGGCTCAATAATTAATAAGACACTAATAGTTTCAGAACTGCACGCATCTAAACTTTTAGTATTTTTAATACGCGTGAATAGGCTATTGTACGTAAGCCAGACAGTGAGATAGTCGAATTAAGAAAAATTAGCTTTTACATAAATTACGATATCTCCGAAACGGGAAGTCGGATCGACAAAAACCAAAAGCTATTTTAAAGGGGAAGGTTCACCGCTTCCAACGATGGCTCAGTTATGGAGAATACATTAGTAGCTTCGAAACTGCACGCTTCTAAAGTTTAACTATTTTTAATACGCGTTGCTACACTGTTCTAAGACAGTGGAAACTGAAAATTCTCACCTTTCGTCTTTGCTATACACGTATTTCCTATTTACATCGGAAGCTAACCAAAATTTGATACCTTTTGTCCAGTTCAAATGTAAATCATTCAACCTGTCAAATGACCGGTCGTGGTTGGTTTAGTGTTAAAATTTCAAACACTTTTGCGCTAGAACTTGGTCTGTTTCCCGCTTGCGCGCCTCGAACAATCCACGGAGCTTTGTGCCCCCTTCCGGAAAATGCAAGCTCGACTGGCAGGAAGTTTGGAGGAGTAGAAATTATCGATTTTCCTCGCACGGAGTTTCAAGCTCGAAATTGTAACGAGTATCGAGCCATAATATCAAGTCGACCGTGGGATCGGCAATTGGCAAACCTGGCCACTCGAATGTTCAAGGTAAACCGATAATATCAACTCACGTGGACTTTTTTAAAACTTCACGAAGCGGACAACATCGAACTCTACCGAAAAGTAAAAACAACGAGGTCGCTGGGAAATTAATAACAGCGTCGATTTCTACTCCTTCGAGCTTCAAATGACTTCGAAAGTGTGTAATCGTTCGGTCGTGAACGTTGATGGAAATGTATATTTTCATAAAATGTGAAATTATAACTGTAATATATATTTCTTTGTTAACCGGCCATAAAAGTTTACTTTTATATCCTTGTTTGCGAGTTTCATTAAACGTGATAGGTTATACAAATATTGCGCGCAGTTTCGAGCGATTCTCGAATATAAATTTTAAATATATTTGCGATCGCCTGAAGCGTCTATCTTCATTGAAATCGAGAAAAATATAAGCGTACACAAAATTATGATACGACGTTGGAAAGAGTTTAAAATTAAAATTATATTCTAACGAAATTCGATAAAAGTAGTTATTGCCGGATATTGACGACATGCTCGAATTAAAAAATATTTTAACTCCGAGATTAAATGCAGACTTCGAACAATTGTCGATTAATACGAAAATACAAACGATACTTCTCGTTATTTTATTTACACATACGTATGTAAAACATCTCGATCCAATACCTTAAAAAGTTAGACTTGAGACAATATCGTATGGCATTCTTCGACGGAAGGCATATAATATTTCGCCGGATCCGCGGAGAAATTCAAAGCAGAGGATCCGGGCTGCCTCAAGGCCGCAATTTTTCAAATAAAACAAATTCCTGTTCGTATTCCGCAATCAAGGTATGCATTTTTCCATTCGCATCCACGTCACCGACTTGTCCTTGCGGGACTGGCTCGAGGTCGAAATATTCAACGAGTATTCTCTCATCGGAGTCATTTTCCGCGTTCCGTCGCAACGCTTTCCATGAATCTCAAAGCGAGACACGATCCTTCGAAATCACGAGCATACGTCCATCCAGCAACAAAACGAAACGAAACTGATAAATAGTTAATTTGGAATCGAGAAGACGTCGGGTCTGATTAAAACGCAACTGCCATGGACCAGCGTTAATATCACTTTTTAACATTGAAGAGATACATCTCCAGAATCTGTAAATATCCACACTAAGTGTTCTTTTTATGGCTTATTTTCTACCGTAAAAGAAATGCCTGATCATATTTTTGTTAATTCTAACCAAATAATAATTTAAATAAATTTAAAGGGAACCACTTTCCTCTTCTAATAATTGCTCCAAAAGACTGAAAAGATTAGGTGCTTCAACCTTTGATAAAAAAAGATTTCTTGATTGATTTCCGGGAAAAGAGCTTGTAACATTTTATTTGTGCCCGCAAATATTTATCCCGCAAAGGGAAAACAGAGTTTTCGAAAATGTTTTCGCGTTGACAGAGCTCGATCGGATCATACTCAACGAGCGATTTTACGTCCGATGTAATTCGCCGGAACGGAATACGCGAGACCCAAATCGTTCGAAAAAAACAAAACGACGTTTTCCATCCACGGAACAACATTTTATGGTCGGTGGGTTTTTTTTTTTCAATCCATTCTCCATTGTTCCGCTATTTTGTTGGGCGTCAGCGACACAAGGATGACAAAAGCGCGTCACAAAATGGATCCATCGACTTGACAGGATTAAAACTTTCGAGCATTCAAGCATTTACAACGCATCGTTAAACCCTTATGTCAATACCGAGTTACACGGTTACTCGTTTTAACTGTCCTTTCAGTGATTCTCCGTGGCTTCCA